ACCGAATACTGATGTCATGCTGTCGATGATAGTGATGATGATGACAACAGCTGTTTGGACATGTGTTCGTATTCGGTTCTGCTGGCCTTCGAGTGTGCTGGGACTTGCTCATGTACCGGCCTCTGTGTTAAAGCTCCACTAAATTTCGATGCCGTTTCTTCGTCTTTGGTTTTCTCACGCTTAACTTGAATAAGTTTTCTCTTGGTGCACTATGCGGCAGTTCTCATAGTGCATCACTTTTGCGCGTACCAGATGTCGATCCCTATTTCATTGAGCTCCACATATCAGGTTTGTGGTCGGTACCTCACAGAGGTCTCTCTGTCTTGTATTGTTATAGTCGATTACTTCTTGATCGAGTCCACGTGACAGGCTGTTCCCCCGACATTTAATCACCTGGTTGTTGTATTACTTTGTGCATCACTGCACTCACCGTCATTAGTGCTCTGTTGCCGTCCATTGATCCGATTCTAAAGTGAACCAGTATCTTTTTCCATGTTTTGAAGTCCCTGTCGCACAAACCGCCAGATATAGCGGAATAGGTTGTGAAAATTTAAGATAGTACGTAAAAAGGAAAGCCAACGCAAAATGGATAACAAGCGCTCCAGTGATCGCCTTTGTGAGCCATGCCATCAAGTGTTGCGACCATTAGTCGTCATCCGTGGGACCCCAAAAACAAGGAAGCCCCTCGATCCAGCCGATATAACTCGTAAATTTGGTGTTAGTGACCCTCCGGGATGTTAGGACTTGTGAACGCCAGCTGATTCTCACTCTAGCTAATAGCACGGAACAAACTACAGGCGGACGCATGCAGCATTGAAGTTATCCACCTCAACTTTTGCGGTGCTTGGGAGTCTTGCCGATATACCGTGTCAAAAACACCTCAGTGGATTTCGTCGTTGCTCGGTATGTTTCCATCACACGTGTGGTCCCCCGAAGACGTCGTTTGTTTAAAACTGGATATCCTCAAGCCAAAACAATAAAGCCCAGCTATTTCATATCTCTTAACCTTTTGGGGTTATATATACACCTCTGAGGGGTGATTTCTCTTTTAACTCCTCTAATGTGGATACAAACTGTGGTAGTGGGTAGCCTTCTCGTACTACATCACTCACGTTGTTCAAGACGTCTGAAAGATAGCTATGTACGCCGACCTAGCACGAGGCACGCACGTTTCTCGGATTACATCTCCATAATGTCATGCTGTTGACTGAATCAAAGTGCTTTTTGACACAGGCAAACGAAGATAGTAGCCAGTCAATGGATAGGGTGAAGAACTAACCCACTCTTTGACAGCCGTGCTTTGCACTTTTAGTCTGCGGTTTCTTTATCAACCAATCTCTTACAATATTCGCCCACGAAACAGCTGTTTATTGCGTGGCCTATGATGCTCATCGCATAGTCAGCGGATCAGCCGATGCAACCATCCGTGTATGGAACGTCCGGACCAATGCAAACTGGTCTGTACAAACTTTACGTGGACACTCGGATGCGGTGCGCTGTCTCCAGTTGCTTCCCTTGGACGATGACAGTGGCACATCGTCTACATCGACTCCTTCCAGTCCAGATTGTTGTTCTAGCCCCACCAGCCCAACGTTGCTGAGTATATGGCAACCCCCCGAGGCTCTTCTCATTTCTGGCAGTGCGGATACCACAATCAAACTTTGGCGGCTCTCGACCACCGTCAAGTGGTCACGTATTGCTTGCACTAGTACACTTCAAGGTCACACGGATGCCGTTCGATGTTTACAGGTGAGAGCTGAAGGCTGTTTTTGGCTGTTGCGCGTAAATGCTGAATTTCATCGTTATCTGGGTTAATCATGAATGGTTCCGTTGTTAATCCTTACCATTCATCGATCTTCATGAACTATCTACTGATTACCTGTTCGTATAAAAGATATGCGATCACTTTGCGTTTAGATCAGTAATGCGCACAATGAATTAACACGTTGTGCTATCGATCCTTATACTCGCATCTGATAAGTCCTAAAGGGAGTGAAACACGCAGTTAACTGTTTTGTGGTAAATGAATCGTCAATTTCGCACTGCATTGGTCAGTTTTCTTGCCTAGTTATTGGTGTTTTTTTCTAATGAAGCTACTTTGACCGTTTTGTTCGAAGATAAGGTCATTCGGGCTGCGTTTACGATGAATCCAGATTGTCTTCCAAGAAAGTCGGGCCGTTATGTTGGCTTCTTTATAACTGTCTGTTTCACGCCTGATATTCTGCCAACTATGGCCTGACCCGTGACATCATTGTTGAACTCTTTTGGAAGATATTTCTCTCATATTGCGTAAACCAAATGAAAAAGGCTTATTCCAATACTGAGTACCCCTATTCCAAGTCTATCACATGGGAACCTATACGTTTTTCAGTTTCACAGTTGCCCTTCAGAACTGGTCCTCAGCCAACATCGACCAGTTAAGATGCTTGAGACTTTGGACAAACTTGACCATATCTTTATTTAAACATTGCACAGCAGGACCAAACTGGACCGAGGTAGGAGCGGGCACGGACGCTTTTTCGAGTGGGTATTCTGTGACTAAAGCTTGTCTATACATTCGAATTAGGTATCACTGAGTTCCCTTCGAAAACGGCTGTGAGGTCACTGGCCAGTGCCACAGTTTCCTGTTTTCTTACAAGGACGAGCGCTAGAAGAAGCATTGAGCTCGAGGTTCGCGTCCATCTTGTACTATTGGGATAGCATTAACGCACTCGTCCCGTATGTCAGAGGGCTCAAATTCGAACACGATTGGGGATGTGCACTTGTGACAGGCCTCTGAGAAATGAACCCAAGTTCAGTGCTTTCTCGCCTCAGTGTGGACCGAGCAAGATACGCGACTCGATTTTTGGTGCATTCATGCTTTCCACTCATTTTGTGAGATGATTGTTGGTAAAAGGCAGTTGCGGATCGAATCGTGGAATTGTATGATTCTTTTGCATCCGAACTGTAACCATTCTTCGGAAGTACTTCTCCATTTGTCCCATTTTACTATCGTCTGAAGTGTTCCCGGTTTACCTGACTTACAAGCTAGGCGCTCTTATTTGCACCGAAAACCATTTGGACCGCCATCGATTAGCCCCTCGGTAGTATCCAGCTTATCTTTCACTGTTATACAGGCTGAAAAATGCCCAAAGACGTTTCATCAAAGAAGGTCGAGAAGCTGAGCCACCCGAGGCCTTTTGCCCTTATCGGGGTTCATCGCATGGGCGATCGATTTTTCACTGGCAGTTACAAACGACTGACCTCAGAATTCCATTTCCGCAGGCTGATCGTACGCAGAAGCACATACCCGAAGTGGCTGTTATCTCTGGAAACAGGGGCTCATTGTGGAACACACGGCATCTTACAACTAAAGAGCGAGTGTGGTCGTATTAGAACTTGCTGAACGTTCGCACAAATGACCCTTAGCATGAGTGTAACATTGCGGGGATCTGAGACAACAGGTATTTGAAGAAAACTCCAGGGGTACACAATTTTCGGGTAAAAGTGAGCTCTGTTCAGCATCATAAGAGGAATTTGACAGAGATAACCAGAAAAGTGTAAATCAATTGAACTTCCCTGGGAATGGGACAACGGAGGTGAATCTCAATGCATACGTTCCTTGGTAGGAGGGACAAACTGTGTCTGGGTTTGAAAGTATCCTTAATAGAAAGAACCATAACACTTCTCTGAATACTAGCATAAGTTGTAATAAAAAGGATAAAAAGCGGTCAAGTTTTAACACCCCTTTGGCGCTTGACTGCTATGCCACGCAAAGGAATCACAAGCTGCGAGATACTCCCAAGTTGCCAAAGTCCAGACGGGAGCAGTGGGGACCACTTCATTGTTGAGCACTTATGGAACCCGTACAACAAAAATCAACTGTAATCCCGAGTTGTGACCCGTTTCTAGTAAGATTAGCAGATGAAATTGTTGAAAAATAGGTGAACAAGTGAGTGGGTTGACGATTTGACAATGGCGTTGGTTTGTGAAGGTTAACGGTGAAATAATGCGGGCTATAGGAAACCACTTATTGCTTTGAAGGAATTGAGTACAGTTGCGTTTATCAAGCCCCAGCCTGTTTATCAGGTGAAGTGTTTGTAGAGATTACTGAAACACTCCGCTTCGCCAGCTCCGCACACTATATTCACTCTCCGTTTCTGATATCTGAAGCAGGTATGCTATCTTTGTTCTCTTTTGAAAAAGTGGCTTCCTCAAAAATCAGACATTTCCAGGCCAACTTCCAAGGTCGTTTTGGGAAGATTGATTGTCTTGCTGTATACGTTCTGTTCTTCCCCACTCACAGCCTCACGATTCTATTGGTCCAGACAACATCTCAAGAGAAACGGTATGTACGAATGTGAGGGACAATAAAATAGTCTGTGAGGCTGAGAAATTGATGAACACAGTTAGTGAAGGGGAAAATGAAGCACATGTATGCATGTGTGGTTACAGATGTTCGAGTACCATAGCATGCTATTGATCTATTTATGCATTGTTAATAGTGAAGAACTTCCAAACTGTCCGTTCGGAAGTTCACATCGACTGTGTACTGCTCACTACTTAAGACTCGCCCTATATAGCCATACTGTCAGCACCCACTGATTCAATACCTGTTTTTTGTTTAGGTGATCAGCTTGAACATTACGGTACACTGGTACTTCCGAACTCCATGTATACGCTCACACAGACAGTGATTTAGCATCTATATGCACTTTTCTGGTCTCCGATAGCCAAACTTCAAGGTCAAGCCACTCGCTTTGCTATGTATAAAGAGTTGTTCAATTGCCAAGGTCAACGTGTGTGCGTGACTGGCACACAAAAAAGCAATTTTTCTGCCCATCTTTTCACTCACTCTCTCTCTCTCTCAGGCCGACCAGCAGAAAGTACTGAGTGGTTCGTACGATTGTACCGTCCGAATGTGGGATTTGAAAACAAGCATGTTACGATGCACATTCCGGTTAGTTGTCCACCTCGTTTTATGTTTTTTTCTTCGTTGAACGGTGTACTGACCGTTGGCTGTACCGGCAAGTTCCTCACACTTCACTCATCGCCATAATTGTTTAGGAAGTTCTCCTCAAGGATGCGAATCTTGGAAACCCTATTTTTCACGCTATTTCCTGTAACAGCCTTTTCTCTGTAGCCTACGCATGCGACGCGTTTTTTATTCTTGAACATAATGCACCCGAAAACTGGGCACTATAGCGACCGGAAGCTGTGGCGCTCTCTCGTGGGAACTTAGGGCACGGTTTGAGGTACACTTTCGTAGCTGTATAGCTGGAGTAAACACCAATTTGTATGAAGTGACACATCGCCGCGTTAAACAAGTAAGAGTAATAGAATAACACTCCAGGGTCGTTGTCGTAGATCGTTTTGTCGTCGAATAACTCTGATGCCACTTTCATTTGACTCTTATTATTAGATGGGCCGAAACATTCACTCAAATACAGAACTCCTTCACCGTAGGCTTCTACTCGGTCTCGGAAGAGACCACTTTTTGATTGACCTTTTCGAATGGTCTCTGGAGACAGCTGATACACGCCAGGCTTTCATATCGAATTGGTTGTCACGATAAGCGATGATAAAACAGAAAAAATGTGCGATGCATCAAACAGAGCGACTGAAGAACTGTACCAGATTGTTGCCAACTGAGCTGAATTTTGCTCGACATTCATGAGCTGCCCTGCATGCTGATCGGTGTGCTCAGAAAAAATATTTTTAAGAATCGTCCAACTGTAGCACCCTTTCGGTGCCTAGCTGCCATACCACACGAATGAGGCACGAGGGCTGGGATACTGTCAGGTTGCCCAAGCCTAGACAGGGGAAGTCGAGAGGCAGAGATCGGATTCGAACCACGGACCTTCCGGTCAGTAAATTCGTGCTTCATCCACTTGGTCCATCAGAAGTGGACCCGTCACCTACATGTCCAAGTTTCTTTGTTTTACTTGTCTCAAAAGCCAGTCTGATACAAAAGCAGTTGTATTTGGCATTACGATCATCGCGGGAACCCAGATTGCCTATAAGGTATTGTTTCTCACGAATGTATAGTTTCAACTCTCGATTTCATCCACTGTTCTGCGCCAATTGTTTTTGCTGTAGGCACCCTCTAGGCTAGCAGTAGCCTCTCTAATACGTTTTGTTTTCAGAAGACTTGTTCACAAAATCGACCAGCTAAAAACCCAACAGTGGATAACTTTGCCGAATAGTACAGATGAAAATGATGGATTGAAGGCTATGGGTTAATCACACATGTAACAAACCGCAACTGTCCAGGTGACAGGTCGATCGTAATACCTGAAGTTTGAAGAATCCAGTCGATTTCTGTCTCCTTGGTTATTGTCTTCAGCAGTTGAACTGGTTATCGGCCATCCAGCGACTGTCCATCACGTTTCTGCTTATCGATTATCGCTTACTGTTTAAACTGACTGATCCGCTTATTTACTGTTGTCCGCTTCCTGGAAACTGGACATCTACTGAGTCCATTGAATTGAAAATCTCGTCAGGGTGCAGTTAGTATCACCCCCGACCTCGGTTCGGTTCATTACTGTCAGTCACTTCTTGTGAGTGACGCGTTTCCTCTCTTCAAATGTCCATTCAACTCGTCCCAACCCCCAATAATTTTTTGTTTCAGTAACATTTGTTTGTCGGCAAACTCGCTACTACTTCGTCAAATTGTGAACAGCATTAGTTGAAGTAGTAGGAGTGCGTTCCTATTTCTTGAAATCCGAACTCGACTGGGCATCGAGAAAGCGTTTCGATCTAAAGAGGTACCTTACGGTTATCTGGGGCGAGATGGCTCAAGTGGTTAGAGCGCGAATTTACTGACCGGAAGGTCCGTGGTTCGAACCCCACCTCTGCCTCTCGACTTCACCTGTCTAGGCTTGGGCAACTTGGCAGTATCTCAGCCCTCCTGCTTCCTTCGGGTAGCATGGCAGCTAGGCACCAGAAGGGTGTTACAGCTGAACGATAACGATTACGGCTATCTCATCCTCGTTGGGAATTTCCAGCGAAGCGTATCTCACGTAGTGTCCGAAAGATTCGAACCCATGGCTTTCCGATTATCGGATGAACTCTATACCGCCGTTCGGACAGGAGAAGGTGTTGATCAGTGTAATGAGCTCTCATTTCGGCAAATATTTTCAGGACGAAACTGTCTACGCCATATTCGTTTATTGCACTGCTCTTCAGAAGTGGAATGAAGTTGCGTTTGAGTGCATTCCAAACGCAGCTTTTCTCTTTGTCTTCTGAGAGCGCTAGTAAATCTGGCTCTGTGCTGACGTTCGTGTGAGATTTTGCGGATAGAGCATTGGTTCTTTTTTCTGAGGAAAAACGAGGATATCCTCAGGCACGGATCATGTTTTCAGGTATGTGTTTCGCACATTCATAAAGGATCCGCCTCTTTGGAGGGTTTTTGTCAAATCGTCTGTCATCAGACCAGTTGCACGTTTCACTACTGGTAGTGCGCAGTGAAGTTCAGGCTTTCACCCAGGTTTGGTTTGGGGGTCGTTCTGTTGACTAGAGTTTCACACTTAATTGTGAATTCCGAGACCATTCCAAGGTTCGTCCGCATCGGCTGATTGGTTCTGGTCTAGTTAATCCGGGTAGAATTCTCGTTCAACCACGCAGACTATATATGGAAGTTGCCAGTTTTTAACCATCGGTGCCTTCGAAGCATTGATTGGGTCTAGTGGGAACATCGGACGAGCAATGCTTGTTAAGACATGCACCACGCATGGCAGAGGACCGTTCGCTTCGCAGATCCCTTTTCGCCCCCATCTGTACCGAGTGGAAACGACCGAGAGGTGGAAAGCACTATATATTTATAATGTACTACTCGTAAGGCTGCTGAAAACGTTAGCCAATAAACTGAGTCAGGTCAACATCTGTAGCCTCCTCGGATAGATACTCTGGGACTCAACTCATCAATGGTTGATGACCCTGGTAGGAGTGACCCGATCGCGCAGTCAATGACGCTCATGCATCAAAGCAATCGTCTTCAATGCGTTGCACATCAGTTATTGACTTAACTGAACATTACATCGCTCGCAAGGCCTTGGTGTATGCCCCGAGCTCTCCCGCTTTCGGGTGATTGAACCTGTAGCCGCTGGTGCCAGTGTACCCATGGCACATAGATTGTGGCTAATAAATTGGAATTGAATTTGACTTCTCTAGGCTCTTACTAGCCATTGTTTCCTAAATCCTCGATGTCAACAGGTCATCCAGACATGTATGAAAGTGACCGATCGCACGCCACTACTCACCTCTGCCGCCTCGTGTCCAGCGTCATGTTCAGTGAAGCATTTCTTGTCCGAATCATTTCAATGATTGGTCAAAAAAGTGCTCTTGCGTCCTCTTGCTCTTGCATTCTTGGTATTTTTTTCGATAGAAGTTTGCTGCATTTGTGAAACTTTATTACAAGGTCCAAGTATGGTAACTGAGCTTAAAGCACCTTCACTATGGGACGCCACCAGATTATGAACTTCAGATGATACTTCGAGTGCTGTGTACGTGGTTTTATAGAGTGCGTGCAATTTTCGAGCTGAGGCCCCTTTTTGAGTAGGCTTTGTGCTGTTCGTCTTTCCAATCCCGTAAGGACCCACAACGGTGGAAATACTGACCACTGTTTGTTTGTACTTTCTCTGCAAGCACCAAACAACTGTAGCTTTGATTCAGTGAGAAATGAATCTTGTCAAAAAATAGCTGACACCTTATCCATATTGAAGACCCTTCGTTGTCTATAGAGGAAAATGTTGATAGCTCAGGTAGCGTAGATGGTCGTTGGCTTGTTCGCTGTGCTGCAAACGTTTCATCACCAATCGAGGTGACATCATCAGTACGTTATTAGGGAGCGCAGTGGTGCGTAGCGGTGGGTCAGTGGTTGTGCACAACCGATAACGCAGTGATGATGTCACCTCGATTGGCGATGAAACGTTTGCAATCAAATTGCCAGCTCAGCGAAAAAGCCAACGGTTACCCTTCGTTGTTTTCTTGTCAATCCCTAGCATGTGAACCTCTTTTAGCGGAACTACTTTAGCCATAGTCATAACTTCGATTGCAGGCGTAGTATTCCCCTTGTCATGCTTCCTGCTACATCGCCCGCCTGTTTTAACTGACTCAGTGGTTAAGGCGCGAGATCGGTGGTTTGTATCCATCTCCGGCATCTCGATTGTTCCTGTCTAGGCTGTGTAGCATTGGTAGGTAGGGCGTAGTGTTCCCCTTGTCATGCTTCCTGCTACATCGCCCGCCTGTTTTAACTGACTCAGTGGTTAAGGCGCGAGATCGGTGGTTTGTATCCATCTCCGGCATCTCGATTGTTCCTGTCTAGGCTTGTGTAGCATGGTAGGTAGGTACCGAAAGGTTTTTACAGCTGGGCGGTTATTTTTTTTAACATTTCAGCATTGTCAGACAAATTGTCGCATGGTGTTTTGTAGGATTATCCTCATTCAAGACTTTTTAAACGTGGGTGGGTTGCATCTGGAACTATATTGATTTCTGTTTGTTCCGAGATGTTCTATGCACGATGAACTAGTTACGCGTTCCGAAGGAACAAAATCTACCGATCGGCTCGTTGAAACGGTTTGTGGTTAAGACCCTTCCTATCAACAACCGCAACCGATACCCCATTCGCACTGCGCAGCACATGAACCCTTTTCAACAATTTATGCTATTGGTTGCCTTTGTTCTACCTTCATGGTCCCTGCGGACACCCTTGATTCCAAGACAAATTGAAGTCTTTACGTAAAGTCAAAGCTTTTCTACGCATATTTGTCACTCTTGTTCCACAGATCACTTGGATTCATTGCCCCGGAATCCTTGCTATCTGATGAAGCCTAATTAGGGCTTATTCGGCCCAATATTGGTTGTGGTCACGACTGCTCACCCGCTACTTCGTCGGAACCATCAGTTGGTTTAACGTTTGTCTTTCTAAACAGCGGTTAACATACAGCACGTGTATGCCAATGTTCACGAAATGATTAACCCTTGATGAACACTTTTCAAAACTCACGCTTCGAAAACTGCTAGTCCTCCAGATCCCCTTAATGGAGAGTTTCTTTTCTCGGTGTATTCCAACCATTAGGTCGAAAGGTAGAGTTATGAGTACTGTCCACCACTGCATGTGATATCCCTATTCGAATCACTTTTGGACCGTACCCTGAAGTCCTGTTACCAGTCCGTCTTGTTTACTTCTCGCCTTCCGCCTCGTTTTTTTCCGCAGTGGTCATACAGCGGGAGTTATTTGTTTGACTTACGACGAAAACTTGCTCTACTCAGGTTCACTGGACAACACGGTGCGAGTAAGTTCCCATCTGTTCATTCCCTTATCTTCAATGTATTCGCCACCAGCATGAGTTGTTTAACACTAGAACTCCGGAGAAAAGGCATTGAAACTATTCTTCCCCAATCCTCAGTGCAGCAGGATATCCAGACGAGCTAAAGACATTCTGGGAGCGCGTGAAGAGCTCAGTTGAATTGTGCGCATACTTTTGTTAAGCTCTTCAAAATAGGGAATAACATCCAGATCCAGAACCAAAGGGACATCACTTGTCCAGTAGCCAAACTCATGTTGCCCAAGTAAACAGCTCGACATCTCGCAAGCAGAAATAGATGGATCCACTGGTTTACAAACGATGTGTGTATTTGAATCGTTTAGCCAAAACTGTTGCCTGATCGACATTATCCTGTGGGACTTTTGTGTGCGATAGTAGTCACTCCACTTCTCGTACAAGGTGCATAGCTATCATGCTGCTCGAAGCGAGCACGTGAGCTGAGATACTACCAGGTTCCTGAAGCCTAGACAGGGGCAGTCGAGATGCCGGGGTTAGGTTCGAACCACAGTTCGATCGGTTGGAAAAAGTTAGTTCGCTCTTTAATTAGTGATTTTCCCCAAGCTCTGCTCCCTGAAGAATCAACGCGAATGTCGTGTTCCGATGAAGGACATTAATTCCGTACGGGGGCCAGCCGTCCCTAATAACCAAACACCACATCATTTAGACGGATGTGTCACGTGCAGGACACGGGCCAAACAAAGGCGTGTCCAGATTGGTCAGAATGCCAGCCAATCCGAGTCAAGCACCTTTGACTCGACGCTTCTCGCCCCCTCACGGAGATTCTAGCACGACCTTGTGGAACACTGTGATTACCCTATAAATACAGATATAACGATTCTCCTTTTGTCTCCATAAAGGGCTGTGTAGAACTACCGTGCTTTTTTATATACCATAGTGGGCGGAGCAGGAAGCCAAGGGACCGATACAGAGATGCACTACCGTCCAGCAAGTCACAAATTCATCTACCAGCAGTCACTACTGTAGCCCCATGCCTCATCGATGAGCAGTTTGTTTGTGGTGAGAAGAACGAAAACGAAAAGGAATGTCTTGACAGTTTATGCGAAACCGTGATGCTTCAGAATAGATGCACTTGGGCCGTATACTAAGCCAGTGCTATTCACCGGATGGAAACTTGGAGGCTACGCCCACCTTATGAGTCCCAGTAGGACGTAACAGACATCGGGCTTTTCAGCAGCTGTGTGAATAGTTTTGGGTCAACAGTATCTCGGCCTTTGTACAGCACATTAAGTTGAAGCTTACTCTGTGTGGTTCAGCTGATTTCCAGATGATTCTCTCAAGTCAATTTGCAACTGAGTGCGTAACTCCGCTGATGTATACTGCGATGGTCAAGTAGAAATTCCGGTTGACAGCAACTCGGGGATTTCGCCTACCTGATGAGCTCCAAGGGGAACGAAACCGGCAGTGGGCTGTTGGATAGTTTTCATCAACATGTTGAATTGCGATGGGTCAAGATAAGTACTTCAGGTGTCCGTACACCTTTGAGACGCAACCTCGTGGGCCTCTCCTGAAATTCACACTTCCTGGTCGTACTTCATTGTGCAAAGGCTAGAGATGCTATCTCGATCCAGATCATCCTCCTAGAAGCCCCTGTCGCAGACAATAGTCCTCGTACATTAACAAAATGACACTTTTGAGTCATCCGTCGTCGATTAATTCAAGTTGCTATAGAGCAGAGGTGATTCGGATGAGAAAAGGGAGACGCTAACTTTATTATCTGTGTTTTCACTTCCCTTTTGATGCTTCAGCAAAGCGTCCGTTTGTTTCTAGATTTCACTCAAACGGCTGAACTACATACACTGGTACAGCATTTTCCGAATAAGCATAACAGTTTTACTGGTCAACACTGGATACCTGTGCATACCAGGACCTGATGTGTTGCAGCTTGAAACCCATTTCCAGCGGCTCCCATGTGATAAAAACGAAAACCACACATTGTTCAACCTTTTTTCCCCCTTGAGACTGTCAATTTCAGGATTCTTTCCCCCTACTTTCTTCACCCCCGCTTCATTCCGCAGGTCTGGTGCTTATCCTCCGAAGCATGTCTTTTCATACTCTACCGATCGGTCCTTTCATCCAGTTCCACACAGTTCTGGCTTACCCCGGTGTCCAGTCTCCATTTGGATCGGCTACGTGGTCGACTACTCATCGCACACCATGACGGTATCATTTTAACATGGCCCCTGCCCTCCCACTCCCAACTAGTTGACGCTTACGCACAAGCTGTGAACGGGGAGCGTGCCTCGTTCCCCTGGCAACCCGTGGCGGTCTATCTCACCGAGCATTTTGATACCAATGGCGTCTGTTCCGGCACGGTTGTCCGGTGTATCGATGGAGATACTTGGCACATTGTATGTGGATCAGATGACAAAACACTGAAGGTCAGTTAGTTATTTCTTCCGGTACCTCATCAGCCTTTGTGATGAAACAGTTCGTCATTGTTTTATTCTTGTCCTATGGTGCGCAATGGAATGTTCAACGTGACACCTTGTGTGTCCTAGTGACTACACATTTTGACTATAACATGTGGTACTTGTACCACAGGAGATAAATACTTAATTCCTGTTCATTGGCTATCAGTCCATGTGTTCGTTAACCAGAGCTGCATTTGTAGCTCAAGCTCTTGACTCAAATTGTTCACTCCCATTGGAGGTTGTCTAGTTTCTGGATGGTGGCCCTGTCACATTCCTGCCCTGTTCAAAAGCGCACAAGCGGACCTGCCATACGTTGAATGCTCTTTTTACTGAAATGCTCTTGGAGAGAACAGAGAAAAACACCAGTCTGAAACGTCCTGTGTCGTAAAACTGACGCAAGTGAGAGCACAAAACCACGGCACAAGTCAATCGGGAAACCTATCAGTCTTGAGGATAGAGCATAGTCATTTGGTGTACAGCTTGTCCAATCATGAATAACTATGGTATATGTATCGACCGATCGGTCGATGATGAGCTTGCTCGAGGTATGCGCAACACAGGATTCTGGTTCATTTGGTGTACAGCTTGTCCAATCATGAATAACTATGGTATATGTATCGACCGATCGGTCGATGATGAGCTTGCTCGAGGTATGCGTAACACAAATTGGATTCTGGTCCAAACTGGGAGATGAGTGCCGCTCATCGCAAGATTCCTTTTCATGTTCCATTGCGATTCGCGTTTTGTCAAAACTTACGACCTTTCCTGGGTATCCCTAATTTTCTCAAATAGCAACCACGTCAATATATTCGATTAAAGTCCTCTGATGGAAAGAGGGGCTTCAAGCGATGTGTTCTCTGTGGTTCAGCTGATGTTCTGAAGCGGACATATGCCCGCTAATCTCGACTAATCCTGAATAGTATACGAATAGTATACGAATCAGAATTCTGTATCGGCTTCATCGTCTCTTGGTGGGAGTTTCTATGGGAAGCCAGGCTGTTCATATTAGTTTCACTTTATCGAATGAAAGTACACATGTTCACGCTGCGCACCGAATCATCTCACCAAAATCTCTTTGTTTCGCGCATGATTCATCTGGAGAGAAGTCTCACAAAGAAAGAAACCGTATATTTCAGGTCTCGCGGTTAACTCTCTGTGTTTCCAGTGTCACGTCGTTAGTTCGATTCTCACACTTGCAAGTTTATGAATAAAACATTGTAGATCTGCATGCCTATAATCTATGTCGTTAGTTCGATTTCTACAATTGCAAGTTTATGAATAAAACATATTGTAGATCTGCATGCCTATGATCTGCCATCAGATCGCTACGAATGAGTGGCTCAAATGGGATCAGGGCCACAACCATGAATTGGTTAGCGGTGTCAGTAAGAGGATGTATTCAGTATGAAATTAACTGTTAACTAGTAGCCCTTCATGTCCCATACCACACTGACCCTCTTCTCTCACAACAGCCAATCCGTTATGAAACATAGTACAGTGAACATGTTTATTACTCCCACACTAGTACGGACTTGATAGAAACAGGGGAGGTGGTCTATTCCCAAACTTACGAAAAAGTGCCTTCCTGCCTCAGGATTGTGCGACACCAGTGCTGCGGTCGAGGGTCAACAACCGAGGGCAGATCAGTGGTTATTTCTACTGATTGCTGACCAGTTCGCCGTGCTTGGCAATTAGCTTTCCTTTTTTATGGGAAAACAGCTGTTTCTGGCTTTTGAACGAGGTGGTTTTACCGGTGCGACCCATCAATCGCCCACGGAGAACAAAGTCCTTCGGAATGCGGGATTTTGATGTACATCATGGGGTAACGCAACAAACACTGACTATACATGGTATTCATTAGTGTTTTGCCCAATCACGATCTGGATGTCGCACATGAAAATCGAGCCGGCACATCGAAAACGAAAGAACGGTTCTAATTGCCATAAATTATAGTCAGTCCGGTGAGACAACATATGCTGACTGGGTTAGGTTTGGTCCTGGCGACCCCTCTGTGATCCAGAGCCTGCCAATTATTCTGTTTTTTTTTCGGCATTCGCCTAACTGACAGCGCCTTACTCGTTTGGGTTATAAATTCCTGGACGGCATGAATGTAGAATACAGGCAACGCCACAGTAACAAAATGACCAACCCATCCTTATCTGACTCTGCCTCTCGACTTCCCTTGTCTGGGCTTGGGTAACCTGGCAATATCCCAGCTTTTTTCGGATGGCATGGCAGCTAGGCACCGAAAGAGTGCTACAGCCGAACGATTTTGTTTCTTGTACCTAACCCTCTGGTCTCAAAGAACTTGGTTCCTAGATGACATAACTTGGCGAACGCTGCGTTAAGAGATTAGTTCATTTGTCTGGTTTTTTAATGACACGGTGTCCTAATTCATGACCGCTTGCACCGTGCTTTGGCTTCCCCGACTGGTGTCCCCGCTACCTAAGTAACAGCACACTATTCAGTCGTTTAACAAACTGAAGAAAGGTTATGAAAGCTCTGGAAATTCCACAGAAGGGTGACCTTCACGCATACGGAGACGACTTGTAGGCATGTATATGGAGAATTCTTGCGTCTTCTGTGTTTCTCTCTCAAGAAGGCGCAGGTCACAATCCCCCTGTGCATAGCAGTGTTAGCTCTCGGCCAATACAGGCATCAGGTTTCACAGTTGCAGCATTTTGCACGCCGCTGTCGTTGATCTTAGTGTGTTGAGGAGTTGTCAACCACGCAAACTGAACGGGATGTTCTTCACACTGGTGATTTTTCTGCATTCTTTGGATTTGGCCATTTCATGCGGGAGGTCACTCAGGGTTTTCAGTGTATGCTACCATCCGGTTGAGTATAGTTCCCAATATTGGCTCCTCGTTGTCCACTTTTATCGATTGATCTAGCTACTTGGGTTGTTTGCCGCACTCACAATCATTTCCATCCAACAATACGAAAACTAGAATAGCTATTATTTGTCGAAGGGTTTTGTCCATGAGAGCGAGTGATACATGCCAGTTTGGGCCCGATTTCACACATCACCTTGTTTCCAACATCCGTCCTTATTCCTTCTGAGCACCTCCGACCTAGTTTTCGCCTAGTGTGAACAGGATCTGTCCCAACGAAACTGTTTGCGATCTCCTTTTACCATATCTACTAAATGTAGTATAGTTCGTTTGTCACTTTCTTTCCGCTGCGTACCGAGTGTGACGGATGCATTGAAACAAGTCTCCACAGTTCACTGGTCTTTTGTTCTTTCTCTCTCTCTCCATCAGCACGATATTTTTTTGCATTCATTGAGGAGGCTGTAGGTAAAACGGGATTGTTCCGGTTTCGCAAGCTTTTCGGTTTCTCCGTTACCTACCAGTCAGTACCGTCCTCTCTCTCTGTCTGTCTGTCTGCTTGCTTTTGCTTCCAAAGGATCTGACTTTGCGTGCATTTGCCTGCTATTCAATCATTCAATTTTTCTACTCAGTGTTGCCAATCACTTTTTCCACCGTTCTCGATTTGGATATTTACTAGTGCTAGCTACTTCAATTCACCATATTTTGCACCTAAGAACTACATCTTCTTTTAGACAAATGCACCCACTGATTTTCAAATTAACTTGGTGGTGACTGGTGATTCTCTCGTTTGTGTTACTCTTGAAATGAGATTGGTGTACATTCAGTAAAAGAATCTCCCAAATCGGAGAGTTGGGTGGATTCCGGTTGAATCGCCCGCTAACGTCAAGTTAACCGCAACCGCATTTTTCTAATTGGCGTTACGTAGAACATAAGGTTGACGGGATCCCGGGGGGTGCACGTACTTGCTGAGCCCCACGCAGGACGAACCCGAAGCGTTTTCAGCAACTTTGAGTGGCCACTTGCCCTACATTCTTTTTTCGTTCGATTTGATGTGATCAGCTGAACCTTATAGTACTGTCACCCTCCGTAAAGATCATTCTGAAGCAGTGACCGTTTCTTAGTTCTGCAATGTCTTATTCAGTGTAGATGGAAAAAACTCCTCAATCATGCGGTAGACGCCCACGTTGCAAAATCGCCCGATACTTATCACTGGTCAATTTGAGTCACATCAGTTCACTCTCATAGTAACTGTGCCCTTTCCTCCTGACCCAAAAGGGATACTGGATTGTGTAAAGCAGAACGGAGACTCAGCAATTCCCACTCTGTAGTAGCGTGTTCTGGAAGTTGTTTGCCTTATTCCCCCTCTGGAGGAGTCTCCGAACACCTCAAAATGGCTGGCAGTGCCCCGCAAAAACCCCTCGGGAGGAACGCTATCATGGGGCCTCTGTCTCGAACATCCATTTCACTGCCTTGCGGCTATGCTGTTCTTGCCAGAGTGAAAGGAAGAAAGCCGGTATCATAACCTGGCCCATCGGTTCTTCGTTTAAAAAATTTGACTAAGATCCGACTCTGAACCAAATCAGAGTGAACAATGACTACCTCCGGCGGACTCGAAAAATATGACTGCTCTCACTAGTCTTGAAAACGAGGCCCCGGAAATCGCAGTTGAGGGTACATAGACTGGAATTGCTTTCTCAAACCAAAGGCCACATATTACTGAGGATTACTGAGTAGTACGGCGTTCCCACGAGACCCTATCCTCACTGTACCTCCATGACTGCGCAGAGGTACGTAACCTACATTCTCCCGTATATTCGTGGAATCGGCTTCATAATGAACCAGCTTACTTACACTCGCCCATTTGCCGAACTAGGTTTGTCCTCTTCTGTCATCACCGCTCGCCTGATGCATCCTCTCGAGGATTACAATATCGACAGTCGTATGGTTATTGGAATACCTCCAGATCATTCCTTACCACTTAAGGATCGTGCCAATCGGCAGTTCTCAGTATATTCCAGTATATTACATACGAAAACTAGAATAGCTATTATTCGTCGAAGGGTTTTGTCCATGGGAGCAAGTGATACATGCCAAGTTGGGCCCGATTTCACACATCACCTTGTTTCCAACATC